AACAGTGTATACATACTTTTGGGACACCCTGTATAAGATGATGATTCCAGTATAGATTTCTTATATGATTCCAGACATGTTATACCTGGAACCAGCCGTACCGGTGTGCGCAAGGACTTTGTTGGCACTTTTTTTTGTACATCAACAATGCAGGAAGCCTCCAAATCCGTCTCTCACCCTCAACAGCATACCAAATGGTCAACGATAATGAAGACGGGCACCAGTTTCGATGAAAGTTTACGCGCGGAATCAGCAGGAGAATCTTCCCAGCGTATGCTGCAGCAGCACCTCAAAAGAAAACGAAGCATTACCGAAGAGGAAAAACCGAACAGCTGTTTCGAACAGCGAAGCTGAAGTGACAGATAACGTTGGCTGGCCAAAGTTCGCTGCATTTGGGCTCTTCCAGTTCCAGCTCCAACATGAGGAGTGCGAATGGAACTCTTGCTACAACACTCCAACCGATGACACAAGCGACAAAGGTGATGGACATGCCGACGATCAAGCTTATGCACATCTAATCAGGAGAACGCCGGCAGTCAGGGAGACAATCACCGCCGACGATTCCGATGATTCAAAATCTACGAGGACAATTTCGACGAGGAAGAAGAGACGTGGACGAGGAGTTAAGTGACACCGGAGCATGGTCGCAGCAATCACAACGCCCGTGTTTCCTTAAAAAAATCTTCTAATAATCGTTCTCACCACCATGTCACCTTTTAGAGTTATATGCACTGGTTAGTATGCCTATCACACACTTTCTCGTTGCTCCCCCGGAGCGTTGATGACTTATGTATCATCAACCTCGGCAACTCCTATGATTGTTATCTATACTTATGTCCACATCCATATCTATATAGTCTCTTTACAATTATCTAGAGTCAATGTTGCATATTAACTTATTGACATTTTGCCATTTGGCGTCTTGCTTTCTCGTCCGGAGTGCTGATGATTATTATATCATCAACCTACACAACACGACCATCTGAATGGCCTGCGGTATTCTCACAGGCTAGATTAACCAACCGCTTATGTTTAAGTGCCGTATCAGTCACCATTAAGTGGCACCCCTACATTCCAGGGGGCGCGCCTCGCGGCATCCCCTTTCATCTATGTATATCACTCGTACACTTTTAATGTGCACGGGTATGCTCCGCCTTACTACCTATAGGCCGCTCCATGATGAAAGCGCTCTATCTTTGAGCGCGAACGCGGCTTTATTAGCAACAGAGCGCGCAAGGCGAGGGATTTACAATGGTGGAAAGCGCGCGTCGCGTTCGCAACCGCCGAACTAATACTGCTTG